CTTTCCCTGCTAATTAGAGTGATATCAAATTAGTATTTTCAGCTCTTGAGTCTATGAGGTTTTTTGGTGCCTGAAGCTTCAGTTTTTCTTTCCTTTATTTCTTGATTAATGCCTTAATGCAGAAGATGTTGAGATAGCCATGGGGGATGCTGGAGAAAACCACTAAGGGTGAGCAGGTTGCTGGTAAGGGCAGTTGAGGCTAATGTGCCTCTCCTGAGCATCAGAGAACCACTCTTAACTTGGGATAATGGCATGGAAAATGCATCTTTGTTAATAGCTGCAGAGGAGCCAGGGAGTGGGTTTCCATCAGTGGGCTTGGAGGAGGCTGACGGGAGCTGGTGGTCACTAAAGGATGTGGGTAATGCTGAAACATGACTGGGAAGTGGCTTCGCTGAGCTGAACAGGGTCTTTCCCCCTTCCATGTGCAGCCCTACATGGCTGGGAGACCTTTGGGACTGTTAGTGTTCATTACCCAGCTCCTCAGATGCCTCAGCAGCCCTTTCATCTAAAGAAGCTGGGTTTTTCACTCACTTATTACCATATTCTGATCTGAGAAAATTACTGTTTGCTGTAATTATTAAAGAGCCCTTTTTTTTTTCCTTAACTGGTGGAGTATATGAATAATTCAGGCTCAAGCACGAGTGCATTATCCGTTGGGGAGACGGCAAGTGATGCTTTGAGTTGCTTATAGAGGAGTGTGTGGCTCCCATGGCACAGCCACATCGCTATAGGCTGCACCATGTGCCCTGCCTGTCGCTTCATGCCGGGGTGAGTCACTGCTCCTCACCTTGAATTAAGCTGCAGAGCCGGGCTGTTCCCACCCTGGGCAACTTTTGCTCCCTAAAATACTTTTCCTTAACTCCCTAAATTTAAGCAAAGAAAGGAGTTTACCACTCTGCATAGCCTTAGCTCATTAAACAGGAAGATCTATCAAAAAAAATTGTGCGTTAAGGGAGGAAAAAAAATGTGAAGTGATACAGAAGGAGCAGCGGTGAATGAATCTACCGTAAAGAAAAGGTATGAAGCTCAGCCTGATGAGAGAGACGTGCTGCTAAGAAACACGTGTATTGCAGAAAATAGCACTGCTCTCTGGAGGAGAAGGCAAAAAAAGTCATCAAGGCATTTAAGTCTTTTCCAGTGTGAAATAGGTTTCATGGTTTAAAAATCACGTAATCCACCTATAATTGCAACACCACAATTCTGCTCGCAGTATTGGCAGAAGAAATCAGAGCTAGGGATATAAAAAGCTCTTGTGGTTTTGGTGAGCAATTTAAAAAGAAATTGTTCATGGTAAACTGAGGCAAGTGAGGTTTTTCAAACTCAAAATGTTGTGATTTGTAACAAAAAGCTAAGTCTATCATCTTTTAATGAACTTAATGGTTAGCTTTTTGTATCAGTCTTGTTCCTCTTCTCTCAGTGGGTTCGCACTGGGACCATTCATGAGACGTGCACCCTTTTTTAATGTAAAAAGGGTTTCCTTTAGAAACCTTTTATAAAGGAAAGCACTCAAATTCTTGGAAAATTGCAAAATAGGAGGGTGCCCGGTGGTGGCCAAGAGCCGTTTTGCTGCCTGTCCAGCAAGGGCAGAGAGCACGTGCTCTGTGGTCAGCCTGGCAAGGGCTCCTGGGCATTGCAACACTGGGAATAAAAGAAGGGAATGTGTGTTTTTGAATACCAGTTTAGCACGCCAGCAAGGGGTTTTTTAGGACTGGGAGAACTGGAGGGCAGTGTCCACATTTAATATCATGGTGTTTGCAAGGCATTTGCTTGAGTAGTTGTATAATTTAATATGTTATGATGTTTCTAGTTTGGTAAAAGCCTGGAGACCAGTGGGAGCAGGGTTTGCTCAAGGCTGCCCATGGAGGCACAGCTTTCACCCCACTCTGCTGCTCCGAATTCCCCAGCAGCTCACACCAGGATGGACGCTCACCCTTCGGTGCTCTCTTTTGCAGAGGTGCCGGTGGAGAAGCTGGCCTCCATGGCATCGCTGCGGAGTCTCAACCTGCGGGCAAACCCCGTCGGCCCCGAGATGCGGCTGCTGGTCCGACCCCTCGTCCCCTTTGATGTGCTGCTGTCACCAGAAGAGCCCAGCCCCAAGGCTTGACATGGTCTCAGGGTGCCCAGACAAGCTCTTCCAAGCAGCAGCTGCCTGTGAGAGTGGTTTGGCTTAGGTCAGTCCCTGCTATGCTGCTGTTTCTGTCCCAGACCCGCAGCGAGGTGGCCAGTCCCTCTTTTTATTCCTTAATAAAAAGCAAGCAGCGGGGCTCCTCTGCGAAGGGATGGCACTGCCAGCTGCCAAGCCAGGGAATCTCCCACTTTGTGTTTTGCCAAGTGCTTGGGGAGGAAGCGGAGCTGGGATGCATGCAATGCAAGCTTTGGGTAAAACTAGGGGAGATGGATGCTTGGCTGCATCCATCCTGCCTGCCCAGTGATGGGGAGCATCTGCTGCCCTGGTGCAGCGCTGAGACAGCGGAGCACATCCCTGCAGCCGTAAGGGTTCCCTTTTCAATCGCTGATATGGTGATGTGCCACATGCCTGATTAAATATTTTCCTGTTACGTGTGGGGCTTTTTTTGTTTGTTTGTTTTAATTTGCTAAATGTATGAGTTGTCCTCTCCTTGAAGAAGCCCCTTTTGCAGACCCCGTGGCTGCTTGCTTGGTCTGATGTCTCTGGCTGGATTCTGCCCAGATCTGAGTAGTATTTCTCTGGATTTTCCAGGGATTTTTTTTTTCCTCCATGGTTTTTCACTGTGGAAATCAAAGTAACCCAGTGTCAGCAGATCCCCGCATGCTGCTCACCCCCTGGGTGTCCTCAGAAGCGCGCACCCATCTCCTGGGTGCTGTGAGTCTTCAAGATGTGCCACTTGCTCTCTTGGAAAGAAATGGTCTGTGGGGCTGAGGAAATATCCCATGGAGGGTGGCTCCCTGGTGGCAGGGAGGCCACTGCCAGGCACGCTGGTGTCTCTTGGCAGCTGGCTGCCTGCAAGAAAACTCCTGGGAAAAACTGTAAGCATTATCTCAAAATGGCTTGTTTAAACATCTCCTGTGTTTGCTCCTCTGTGTTTTTAAGGAACAAACGCTTCCCAATGGTGTGAGCTGGCTGGGGGCAGCCAGGAGTGGTTAATCCTGGAAATATTTGACTTCTAGACTTGCCAAAGCCAAACTTTGGTAAAAGACTGTGCTCAAAGGGGGTTTGTTGATATTGGCAATGATGGGGGACCTGAACCAGCATCCCTAAAGACCATGCTGCTTTTTCCCCAGTGTGTGGGTGATTTAGATGGGGTGCAGGATGGCGTCCTCCCAACTCCCAGTTGGGGCTCCTGGGATAGGCGGGAGCACGGCTGGGGACACCGGAGGAGAGAGAGGCACCGAGTGCCAGCATCAGCGTGTGGACGTCAGGGATGATGATGGGGACGTGGAGCCTGACCCTCCCTAGTGACCAAATCCGCTCTGACTCTCCCCTTGCCTCCCGTGGGCTGCCCCCACCCCGCGCTGCCTTGGTGTGGGGG